GCACACAACAAATCAAATTGTACTCATTATTTCAGTAACCCTTTTATTATCAGATAACCTTCGTTTATGAAATAAGTTATTTGTGGCTTTATGCAAACAACACTCTTCTGCAATGGAACTATAACTGATGGTAAAATGCCTCCATGAAGCTTGACACATTGTAAAACTTTGCCTGTATTGCTGCAAAAGCAGAAAACACATTGCTCTGCATACACTTCGCTGCACTTTTCAGAGAACGCATCCACAAGAGGCAATGTAAGCTATAATTCTTTCTCCTTTGTGAAGATGTGTGTTTATTAAACAGCACAGTGTCATAAAAACTCTGCCTGTGGATACAAAATGGTCACAAAAACCAATATTGCATTGCTGACAGCACATTTGATGGCAGTCTCAAAACTTAATGTCCGGTGTCTGGCACTAAATAGCTTATTTAATCTTCTCTGAAACTTAAAGTGACTGTGTTTGTTGTACGTATCTTGCCGGTTCAGAAATGAGTACAACCAAAAGGTTAATACTCAATCATGCTTAAAAAAATAACGTCTCACCTACATTAACCCTAGGCTAAAGCTCACGGATAGTGTTAGCCATGGCAAACATGAGATAAAAACACACTTACAGAAGCAACCATGCCTTTTTAACTTGATCCTACATATTTTTTTGAGCTTATTTATTAGGACTTGTGTTTTTAGCACTCCTACGTGAGCAGTGTTCCTGTTGAAGGCTAACTTTTTAGCCATCCTATGAAATTGTAATATTTCCCAAGTGCTGTTTAACTAAAAGAAGCCCTTTTTCAACACATTTTAAACATTTTAGTTTTATTAACTAATTTGTAATAACTTTTTTGATGATAACAATACATAATATTGTATTTGCTATTTTGGAAGATGCGATTAAAAGTGCAATATAAAGGCTTAAATAAGTCCATTAGTTTAACTAGGCAAGTTAGTTTAATCAGGCAAGACGTTGGGTAACAGTGGTTTGTTTTGTAGCCAAACAAAATATCTTAAGGGGCTAATAATATTGACCTTACAACCTTTTTTACTTTTTGTAAAATATTTTAGGTTTAATTTACAGCCAAAAAAAAGTCTTTCTCCAGAAGTAAAAAGAGAACAGGAAATGCTCAGTTAAACATCACTTGGGAAATATTAAAAAAAGAATTACATTTTCACTGGGGGCTATTAATTTTGTCTTCATCTGTATAGAGAAGATTACTGTATGTGGTGCAAACATTAAAATAGATTAGTTTACAAATCATGAACCGTGTAGAAGCGTTTCGAGGTCATAACATATCTTGTGCAGTGTCTTGCATAATACTAAGTCTTTATTCACTATAATCTGCCCCGTAATTATTTAAACAAAAGGAACAAAAGATGTTGATGTTTTACTGCCTATGAAGTGTTCATTTCACCTTGAATATGTGATGCTATAAATATAGCTGTGTGGTTGCAGTTTAGACGAAATGTAGACAGACTTGTATTTTTAGTACACCCGAATTGCACTGTGGACAATTTTAATGGACAAGGTAAGTTCACACAAAGATGTAAAACTTTAAGTTGCTGTTTTTGACTCTTCTAAAGCATAAAAATGCCACAATATGTTTGCAGATATTTAAGTCACATGTCAAGTAAACATTCTTGTTTATCTGAAAAACAATACTGAAGGCGACCTTCGGTGAACAGTAGCAGTTCCATGTGAGTTGGTTAATACTTAGCAAATAACAGAAATATTACAAACATAAACATTAGGTGAGCTGGTTACATTGTAACCCCATGTCCTAACAACATGCTACATGTGAAGATTTGCAATGATAAGCAATTTGGCTGTGCAGACGCAACATGACAAAATTTTAAATACAGCTGTTCAAAATCACAGAAAATATGTACACTCACTGCACTCCAACAAACAGGTAAGGTTTATAATCTGATTGATACTTATTAAACCTTTATTAACATAATTAAATGTTCATGCTGAATCACTGACATGTGTTGTTTTGTACTGAGTCACAGTTTTAAAGCTCAATTTAAAAATGGTGTATTTTATTTTCAAAATATGAGGTGAACTATCTGATGCTGCTTTCAGGAGTATGGCAATAAATGTCATGTAAAATGGCGTTCAAACTCACATTATTAGCATTTAACTATAATTAAAGCACATGAGGTGTACCTGAGCTAATTATTGTCATTTATCTGTTGTTCACCTGTGAGAAATAGAAGCCATTTCTAAACTATTAATTTTAGTTAGGACAAAAACTTCTTTAAATATGGAGAATATTTATTCTATTGCCTGCCAGCCATGGATTAAATCAGCCTTTAGGCTCAAGACTCGCTCCTGTTGGTCATCAATCTGGCAACCTACACTTGCATGTAGGATCTAGGAATGCAATACCTAGTTAACTCTGTATAAACCACACAAGGTGTACCTGAGGTAAAAATTGTCAGTTTATCCTGTTGTTCAGCTGCAAGAGATAGAAGCCTTTCCAAAATATAAATTTCAGGTGTTTGTTGGGACAAAAGCTCCTTTTAATAGTGAAAAGACCTTCTATCATGTGCCACTGTTTTTATTTAGAACACAATGTAAATCAGCCTTTATTAGCGGAGTCAATCTGGCAACCTGTTCTTGTGTGTGTTTTGAACCAGGAGTGCAATACCTAGTTTACATACAATTACATACTGCACCTTCAATGTACTAACCCCTCTGTAAATGAAATGCTGGGTTACACAAAATTATTTAATGTTGTCCCAACATAATTGTATAAAGTTAAAACTTAACCGTAGTTAGATTTAAACAAATTCAGCTCGAAGGAGCTGCAAACAAATAGATGACAGAACTGAAACTTTCACATGATCTTGTGGGACTAAGATTGAAATACAGACAGGATGAAAATTCAAACATTTTCAAAAAAGCATCAATCTTTTATAGGATAGTCAGGGGATGTCCTTAGCCTACCCCTCAAGTGCATGATTATCCCAGTAAAGGAACACATTGGCTTTTGACAGTGTTTATATATGAAACAGATTTAAAAATGAAGTTACTGCTAATATTGGCCAAAATATTTAAGACAAATGTTATAGGCATCCAAATACAAACAGGATATATAGGAATCAGGATATTTTGACCGATACAAGAAAAAATGTTTTTAATCTTTCAGTGGTTTTAGAAATGTAAAAAGGTTGAACATAAAACAATCAAGCGGTCCAAAACAAATCTCAAGAATTAAGTTGTTTCAGCTCATTTTAAATAAGTAGTTTAAACAAGTAGCAGGCAACAAGGAGGCTCAGTGGTAAGCACTGTCACCTCACAGCAAGAAGGTCCCGACTAACCTGAAGAAAAATGAATGAATGAATGAATGTTTTTACAAATTTAAATAGGTTGAACGTAAAACAATCAAGTGGTCTGAAACAAATCTAAAGAATTAAGTTATTTCAGCTCATTTTAAATAAGTAGTTTAAATAAGCAGCATGACAGGCCCTGAGACAGAAGGTAAATAAACTGTTTGTTGAACGTATTTAGATTATTAAATTTGCATTATTTTTAAATATATTTTACTGTTTTCACTGCTCAAGTTCAACATTGCACGTTTTTCCAAAAGGTACCTTTTAATCACAATTCCCCCTCTGAAATGACTTTCCTTGTGGCTCGATTTCACTTAGGCTCTTCAGGCTTTTGTATAATGCTGGACTAGATTGGATATCCAATAACCAAATAGCCATTTAGGGACAATTGTAGCAAACACTCATTCAGATCACGGTCCATTCTGACATTCATAACATCCACTTTTCACAACCCAATCACAACCCTTACCAACAAAATCAACCCACGCTCAACAGTTTCTCTGCTTAAATATCCCGTTTCATTCGGAAAATATGCATCCTTACACAAGTATAATGGGTTATGAATGCCATTTCATGCTGACTCTAAGGTAGCGAAGCTGTCCTTAAAAGACTCCCGTCTCTTTCCATCAGACTGTATATAATAAGCATTTCTTTATCCGACGCTGAAATAGGGTTCACACGTTTAGCTCATTTTCACTGAATGCCTCAAGTTTCAGCAAATGAGCATCTCTTCTTTTGTCGCCATTATGCTCCAGGAGAAAAGCGAGATAACAGGAAATACAAATTTTTGGTCCTGAGGAACATCAAACTGCAGCTGAACTCACAACACCTCCCTGCACCTAATTATCTGGAGTACATGGTGGTCTTGGCTCACATTTTGTGCGCTTTTTCCCAGTCAGACACACACACACACACACACACACACACACACACACACACACACACACACACACACACACAATTCGCGCTCCCTTAAACACCCACACCCCCACACACACGCTCCCTCCCTCACACACATTAGAGTATCACCTCTGACAGATGGGCTGGCACTGCTCTCTTCCCAACCTGTTCTCTGTTGCAAATTGTATGTGTGTGTGTTTACATGTGTTCTTGTTAGTGTGTGTATGTGGAGTTTGGCGATTATGCACATGCCTACTTGTGCGTAAAGAAAAACACACACACACAGACACACACACGCGCGCACACTCACACACACACACACACACACACACACACACACACACACACACACACACACACACACACACACACACACACACACACACACACACACACACACACACACAGACTCTCTCTCTCTCACACGCACTATTTCACTGTCTGAGCACACAAGAGTGACCTTCACCGTCAATGCTGCATTAAATTAAGCTTTAATATGTACAGTCACATGGCCCACGAGAGCGGTTTAGCACGGCAGCTTTCATTACGCCGTGAAATAATATTTGATGTTACACTTTAATGCGAAGTGCGAGCCCTCAGTGAGTAATGAGAGAGAGAGAGAGAGAGAGAGAGACAGACAGGAATTGGACATACCTGAGCCTCTTTTTGACACCACCTTCAGAGACAGAGACACAGAGACGCCGCAGAGCAGGAACAGCACTGGGTTGAGAGCTGTCATCTTCCTCTCCAGCCTGACGGAGACACAGAGAGAAACCGCACATGTCATATGGGCAACATACAAGCAGCAGCTTCCCACGTCCAGACCTGCATTCACATCTTCTCTGCCAAGAACAGGATTTAAAGGTGAAGTGTGTAATTTTGTCGATGTTAAAACCCAGAAGACTGACTTCCCGAGGATGGTAAACACGCTGACGCTGTCAAACATTGCTCTGTTTGCTTCAGCGGCCCAACATTTCAACTTCACACTTAACCAATGGCATAAGTCCGGGGTAGGACGACTTTTTTTTAGAACAATAGAGGGCGTGTTTGACAAGTGCTTTTTTAAACATCTTACTCTCATAGTAAACACTCTTTAAATCATTTTCAGGTGAAAAAAAAATGCTGAAGTGGCTTATGTAACGGGTCCCACACGAGTGGAATCCGTTCTGCGTTGTGTTGTTGTTTTTCAATAAAGGACTCCAAACCTCTTACCGCTTGGCACTGTCTTTATTTTCTGCACAAATAGAAAATGTGTTGAAAACATGCATTCTGTGATTATGATCTTCATTAAACAACCGTTTAATGTCTCCATTAACCACGAGACAACCTTCTCTCAGCTCAGAAGGAAGTGAACTGCGATAGCGATTTCTTGAAAGAACATGTATTAAACTAATCTGCTTAACATAAGACTAAATTAATATTAATGACATGAAATCACAAAAACTACCAACAATACAAAAACATACCTGCACAAATAGAAAATGTGTTGAAAACATGCATTCTGTGATTATGATCTTCATTAAACAACCTGTTGGCACACGAGGAGTAATTACAGCATGCTAATATGTGCTAATCTCACTCACAAATGCAAACGATCTCAATCACAACCATTTAGAACCACAGTTTCATATTTCCACATCACAGAGTATGTTTAGCGAAGCAACAAACATTTTAGATTTAAAATATACAATCAACCGTCAATAATATTACCGTTTAATGTCTCCATTAACCACGAGACAACCTTCTCTCAGCTCAGAAGGAAGTGAACTGAGAGAGCGATGAGCGCGCACACAAACGAGTATACACTCTTAAAGTGACAGTACACTTGAACAGGTCCTGAAAGTCACATACAAGCATGAACTCAAAACGATAAAATAATATATAATAATATCAAATGAAGTAAATTAAAGTTATACTCAATAGAAAAAAGGATTTTGAGTGAAAATAATATTACCAAAATAACTCTGTTACATTCACCCCTCCTTATTTTCATCAAAATCTTTCAATGTACCAAAAAGACATTCCCAGTGAACACGATACTAGCACAAGTGACTCGCAAATCTAATTCACGAAACCAACATAAAAGTTACCTCAATTTCAAGGTTAAGGAAAACAAGAGGTTGATCAAGTCTCAAATTCCCTTTAAGTTAATGTGATGCCTAATACACCACACAGCACTTGGCTCTATTAAACTTGACTTGTCACAAACAATGTCAGTACATTAAATTATTAAGACTTCAAAATGAATTCTCAATTTAAACAACTTGAACTTTTGAAACTGGCATCTGCACCATAGATTCAATCAATCTGTTTACAGATTTAACTATCCTTCCAACTCTCGTTCTAACAGGCTTGACAAGATCAGCATTTTCAGCACCTCTCAACGATGGATCACTGCACAGTAAGTCAGGAGAGCCAGGTAAGTATTGTGCAATTTCATTTGAATCTTGTTCATGTTTCTCATTTGTAGGCAACTCATTGGCAGCACCAGGAGATTGATGGATATCTGCATCCACTGTGTCTACCTCATCCAAATCATGAGAGTTTTCTAAATCTACAGGTAAAGTCACATGAACCACAGGGTTGCGGTCTGATTCACAAACAGGAAGTGGGTAAGGATAGTCAGAGGAAGATTGAATTGAGCTCTCAGTGAACGAAACAGCAGACAAGTCTTCGCTTGAGTCCTGATCTGCTCCATTCTGATCAGACTCCACAATGATCAGTGGCTGATTATTTTCACTGGTACTTTGCTCTTTATCAATTCCAACAATTGGCAAGAAATTCACTTCCAGTAAAAGATTCCTATGCACAACTTTAGTGCGGCCTGATGCATCCCTTATCCTATAAACATGAATGTCAGGATTCACTTCAACAACAGTAAACACTCCGTCTTCCCATTTGTCGGCCAACTTCCTTTTGCCTCTTTCTGATTTATTAGCCACCAATACTCTATCCCCCACCGACAAGTGAGTTCCTCTAACACGCTTGTTGTACTGATTAGCCTGATGTCTTTGCTCGACAGAGGAATGCTTTTGAGCGATATCCATAGCATTTTTCAAGCAGCACAGTAAAGACTTGACATAAGAGTCGTAATCAGCAATGTCGGGGTTATCGAGTACTTGATTGAACATGATGTCAACCGGAAGTCTGGGTATGCGGCCAAACATCAAAAAGAAAGGTGCATAACCTGTAGTTTCGTGAATAGTTGCATTGTAAGCAAATGTGAGAGTTTGGATCTGTTGTGGCCATTGACATTTCTCTTTTAAAGGGAGCGATCGAAGCAAATTACCCAAGGTTCTGTTGAAGCGCTCCGTGCCACCATTGCCCATTGGGTGGTAAGCTGTTGTGTGAGATTTTGCGACACCAGCCAGACGAAGAAGCTCTGCTATGAGGTTACTCTCAAAATTTGTGCCCTGGTCAGAGTGTATGCGTTCTGGAAACCCGTAGATGCAAAACACATTGTCCCAAAGCTTTTTTGCAACTTGCTTTGCTGTTTGATTAGCGCAAGGGAATGCATGAGCAAGCTTGGTGAAGTGGTCAGTAACTACGAGGACATCCACCGAACATTGTTTGCTATTTTCTGCTGACCAAAAATCTATGCACACCAACTCCATCGGGGCTGTGCTCTTGATATTCTCCAAAGGGGCACGAGCAGCAGGTTCTGGTGACTTTGCAAGGACACACCTTCGACAGCATTGAACATATTCTCTGATATTCTTTTCCATATCAGGCCAATAAAAGCGTTGTCTTGCAAGTGAAATAGTACGGTCCTGCCCTTGGTGGCCTGCGAGATCATGGATACCAGACAGAGCTTTGTTCCTCAGACTATCAGGCAGTACATACTGTAATCTTTTCCTCTTAGTCAAAGGGTCTTTCGTCACTCTATATAACACATCATCTCTAACTTCCAACTTACTCCACTGCTTCAACAGTCTTATTACTTGAGCACTTGCACCATGCCTTTCTCTTCTTGATGGACGTCTCTGTCTAATCAAGAATGACAACACCTTGGATATAGTCAGATCTTCCTGTTGACTGTCCTTGAGCTCCTGGGCAGAGAGCACTGGTAAAGTCTCCTGACAACCCGATATCATCTGAACATGATGGACTAAATGAAGGGCTCTTGACTCTGCTCCGTCTGTCCAACTGCAGTGTGACTGACAAAGAGCTTTGACTTCATCCACGTTGTAGTCAACACTTTGCGAAAGACACTCCATGGGCTGATTTGGCTGAATATGGCTACTGACCCTGAAAACATCGTGAACGGAATCTTCGCCTATCCCACTGGCCTCCTGCATCAAGTAAGAATACGGCTCATTCAACAGTCTCCGTCCAATTGGCTCAACAAAAGGGTCGCGACTCAAGGTGTCCGCCACAACATTAGCTTTTCCGGGCAAATGTTTCAGGTCAAAAGTGTATGCCGCCAGTTTGGAAACCCATCTCAACTCATAAGCATCAAGTTTTGGCTTAGTCAGAATATATGTGAGAGGGTTATTATCCGTCCAGATGGTAAATTTGTGGCCTTTCAGCCAATGGCTGAACTTCTCACATACACTCCACTTCAGAGCCATAAATTCTAGTCTATGAGCAGGATATCTGCGCTGCGATGTACTGAGGGTCTTGCTTGCAAAAGCAATGGGTCTGGCTTGTAGTTCACCTTTTGGCACTTGGGACAATACAGCCCCTAGCCCGTCCAATGAAGCATCAACAGAAAGAATGAAGGGCTCATTGAAGTCAGGATGTGCAAGCATGACACACTCCAGTAAAGCAGTCTTAAGTTTGTCAAAAGCGACCTGGCACTCTGTAGTCCAATCTGCAGGGGTAAGTTTACGGTAAGTGCCTTGAAACTTCCTTTCCTTAGACAATTTTCCTCTTCTTTTCTGTCCAGCTGTAAGGCCGAAAAGAGGTTTAGAGATAGATGAGCAGTTTGGAATAAAGTGTTGGTAATAAAATACCATGCCAAGAAAAGACTTAATCCTTTTGACAGACGGTGTGCAGCCATCATTATCCATCAGATCATGAGCAGTCATCCTTGTGATGACCTCCACTTTTGCTGGATCAACTGACACACCTCCACTGTCAATGATATGGCCAAGGAATCTTACTTGACTTTGAAGTAGATGACATTTTTTAGGTGAAAGTTTCAGATTGTTCTCCCTCAGTCTATCAAACACTGTACGCAGCCTGGACAGAGCCTCACTTTCAGATGGTGCAAAAACAAGGAGATCATCAAGGTAACATAGAAGCTTTGAAAAGTTCAAGTCTCCGAAGATCCCAAGCATCATTCTCATGAAGGAGGCTGGACTATTACAAAGCCCCTGAGGCATTCGATTATATTCATGAAGGCCTAGCGGTGTAGTAAAAGCCGTATATTTTTTGTCCTCCTCACTCATTGGAATATTATAAAACCCTGACGTGAGGTCCATAGTGCTGAAGAAGCAGTTTCCTCCAAGCGCAGCCAGACAGTCAGCCTGGTGAGGCAAGGGGTGTGCGTCTTTCATAGTTCTGGCATTTAACCACCTGAAGTCTGTGCAAATACGCAATCCACCATCCTTTTTCCACACCATCACTAATGGTGATGCGTACTCACTTGAAGACTTCCTGATGATACCTTTTTCTTCCATGTCAGTGAGAACTTGCCTTAATTTTTCATAGTGGGCAGGAGGTACTCGCCTATAAGGCAATCGAAAGGGTCGATTATCCGTCAGTCGTATTCGGTGCACATATCCAGTGGCTTCACCACAGTCCAATGGATGCTTGGAGAAGATGTCTTGGTAATCAGCTAGTAACTGGGTAAGTTGAGATTTACAATCATCACTTATCTGACTCCAGTTGACGTCAATTTCCTCAAGACCCAGGTTCAGCAGATTTTTGTCAATGTGGTCAGCTGCACAGGAATTACATGAATCATCTGACTTGTTTTCCACTAGAGTAATGTGCAGTCCCTGAAAAATCTCAAAATCTTCAGATGCAATACATGGAAACACATCAGCCATTTTGCTGTTCCTCTTCAATGTGATCACTTTATTTGTCGGATTCATAACTGTCATAGGCACCCACCTGTCACCCCAAAGTGGTACAACAAGACGACCAACTAGAATGTCTCGAGGCATAGCTTTTGAATTGGTCGGCTCAACGATCACTGTGCTGCCTGGCGACATGGGCACATTAGATGGCAAACGGCCCCAGACCAAATGTTCATGCTTTGGTAAAAGTACCACCGCTTGAGTGAGTTTGACAGTGCCTATTTTGTCAGGAACAGTGTCTCCTTTCCAACGCTCAACACCCGTAAACATTGACAAGAACTGCTGAACGTCTTCATCAAACTTATTGTCAGGTCTAGAAGCAATGTCCCAATAATCATTGTTGTTCTTCAGCTCATGAATTAAGTGTTTAATGATATTAGAGCCCAGAATAAGATCATCACGCTGGCCAGGCACGACCAAGCAAGGTGCAACACACCGAGTGTCAAAGAACTGGATCTCCAAATCATAGAAACCATCAGGCTGGGTTTGCTGACCTCCACAGCCGATCAAGACAATCTTTTCTTCTGAATGCTTTTTTTCAGGCAAAATGCCTGCAGAACTAATTTTCTCCACAGCATGTTTACTGATTGTGCATGCCATAGAACCGGAATCAATCATTCCGTTAAGAATAACGTGGCCATTGACACGAACAGGAACATAGAAAAGGCTACTGAAGGCTTCGACTTTCTGACTAGATTGTACAACTATCTTGGTCCCTCTAGGAGCACTATTACAGTTTTTCTCATAGAGCTGGGCAAGATCGCATTCTTCATGAAGGTATTTAGTATCCATACCCACATCACCCCTTCCATAATGCGGGTTCAATAGTTTAACTGGTTAGGTGGTCTGCCAGCCCCACTTTCCAATTGATGCTGGTTACGATCAGCTCGCTGAGGGCAGTCCTTTTTCCAGTGTCCAGGAGTTAAACACTTCAGACATCTGTTATCCTGTCTACAATGTGACACCGTTGAATGATCCAAAGATCTACAAACCCTGCATGGTTTGCGGTAAGTCTGAAATGTTGTAGCTTGATGATGTGGGCTAACTTGAAATTGGGTCTGTTGAGTGACAAGACGGTCCAATAGACTCACTAGACTTTTCATGCAAGCACTGTCACTGCCAGACTGCACCATAGGAGAAGGTGGAATGGACAAAGGAGAGTTAGAAGCAACTGTCTCAACAACATCAGGACTCTGAGTGCAAGCTCTATGTTCAGTTATATTCAAACTGTGTAAATTAGTGAAGGTCCTAGCTTTCCTCTCTTGCATATGTTCATCAAGTCTCTCCTGTATCTCACCAGCTGACCATTTCTCTGCTGATTTGAATTTGAAGACATTAGAAAGAGACTTATCTGGGCAGTGCTTGATAAACATCATGCTGATTTCATGACTTGGATCACAAACGCGCCGACCTTGTCTCTCCAGGCATTCCTTGGCAACATCCATTGTCTTGTTCAGCCTGATCCAATACTCCATTGCATCTTCAGATGGCATCGGTAAAGTATTGTAAAAATCGGCTAGGGGCATACTAGAATAGGAGATGGTGCTGAAATGCTGTTTTAAAATGTCAAAGATCAAGCGAGGTTTACTGGTGCAGTCAGCAGATGTGTTATTACGCAATTTAATTTTCACTACATCACCTGCTTTCCCCATTAGCCTATCCAATATTTCTTGTGACTGCTCATCAGTCGGAATAGCACGTTTTCTCAGGTACAGGGACATAATATTTTCCCACTCTTGTACAGTTAATTTATCTGAACCATCGCCCCTAAATATTGGTGGCTCTTTTACATCTGACTGCATCACTAGTTTGACATTAGACAGTGTCATCTCAGCTGGCTGTTCAGAATTACTACGGTTTGTACTGTTATCAGAACGTAGCTGAGCAGTAATAGACTGTCCTACTTTTTCAGCTATTTCACTGATGAGTGAACTCAAATCTGAATTTTGGTTAATTGGAGATGGCATGGCACGATCAACATATCTTGTAGAAGTCAGAACAGGTGTATCAAATGCTCTGCTAGTAGGCCCTGGCATCCTAGGTTCAGAAGGTATTCTGAAAAAACCCCTTCCCCTACCAAACTGGATACTTTGGTCAAACACCTCATTGTCCTTCATCTCTTCAGCAAAGCTATTAACGCCTTCTGCCATATTGCTGTATTGTACCAATTAATTATCTTCAAATTTAAATCAATAAATGAACTGAAATATTGTACTGAACAATGGCAATCAATAACAGTAACCAGTCAGCAAATGTATATTTTAAGAGTCTGAAATCAGTTCGAAAATGTCTTCTGTGAGAGAAAAAAAATGTATATAGTCCACCTCACTTTATATAAAATAGTCCTTTTGTCTTTGAAAAGTACCTAAAACCAGTCCATGCAGCTTCCACGGCGAGCGAGCAGACGTCGGTCTTCAGATGGATCCTTAAAAGGTCACGGCACCATTGTAACGGGTCCCACACGAGTGGAATCCGTTCTGCGTTGTGTTGTTGTTTTTCAATAAAGGACTCCAAACCTCTTACCGCTTGGCACTGTCTTTATTTTCTGCACAAATAGAAAATGTGTTGAAAACATGCATTCTGTGATTATGATCTTCATTAAACAACCGTTTAATGTCTCCATTAACCACGAGACAACCTTCTCTCAGCTCAGAAGGAAGTGAACTGCGATAGCGATTTCTTGAAAGAACATGTATTAAACTAATCTGCTTAACATAAGACTAAATTAATATTAATGACATGAAATCACAAAAACTACCAACAATACAAAAACATACCTGCACAAATAGAAAATGTGTTGAAAACATGCATTCTGTGATTATGATCTTCATTAAACAACCTGTTGGCACACGAGGAGTAATTACAGCATGCTAATATGTGCTAATCTCACTCACAAATGCAAACGATCTCAATCACAACCATTTAGAACCACAGTTTCATATTTCCACATCACAGAGTATGTTTAGCGAAGCAACAAACATTTTAGATTTAAAATATACAATCAACCGTCAATAATATTACCGTTTAATGTCTCCATTAACCACGAGACAACCTTCTCTCAGCTCAGAAGGAAGTGAACTGAGAGAGCGATGAGCGCGCACACAAACGAGTATACACTCTTAAAGTGACAGTACACTTGAACAGGTCCTGAAAGTCACATACAAGCATGAACTCAAAACGATAAAATAATATATAATAATATCAAATGAAGTAAATTAAAGTTATACTCAATAGAAAAAAGGATTTTGAGTGAAAATAATATTACCAAAATAACTCTGTTACACTTAGCTTGAACAATACTGTACAAATATGTCTGATTTGAGCTGGGTTAGTAAATAACAACCTAGCAGCAACCATCCAGAACATCATAGCATCACCATAGCAACATGGTAAAAAAACTGAAAATACTTTTTTTTTTAACCTTAACAATGCATTCAGCTTCAATTTGATTAGTGATAGATATAATTTAAAAAAAAATCTAAAGGGCGTTTTCCACTACGATATCATATTTGAAACTTTAGTTGATGTGTAATGTAGCTGTGTGAACAAACTACATCTCTGATTGTAAGATGCTAAAAGTTCAATGCAAAGGGAGACATTAACTTTTACAGAGTTAGCTTAGCAAAGCCTACAGTAAACAAAGATTGAGGGCAACAAAAAAATTCATCTGGGCTAGTGAGATCACAAGGGCTTCCAGTTACGCGCAATTACCATGTGCATATACCCCACACAGGAAAGGGGCGTGGCCAGAGTCACTGTAATTTTATAGCAGAGAAAGCTAAAATGGAATTGGGCTCCAAAAGGACACGATACAAAAAGAGAAGTGCTTACAAGTTCATTTGAATTATGCTGCAGAGAATTATAAAAAAGTTATAGCTAGCATTTGACAAAGGATAGCTTCCAGAATCTCTTCCAGTTCAGTGCTCGATTCAGTTAAAACTCCTCCACCTGACGAAGCTGTCGTTTGTGAGCCACAACCTGTAAGTATTTTCAATTGTTAAAACTGATCAACTACATGTACAGTATCTAGCATTAACGGCATGTTGTAGCAAGGATGTAAACAAGGATGTAAACAACAGGAAATGCTGTTTGGCACCGCTAACAATTTAGCTATAAATTCATATTCATCAGTCAAACCGCTGTAAACACCCACAATCTTCCGCAGCGCTGCAGTGTCTCTTTAAGTAAGCCGCTTTCCCTGTGTTCTATATCTCAAATAACAAACACGAAAATGATATGTGAAAGTTTAATAAAACTTACACATGTTTATTCTGAATGTGTGTGAAAGACACTTGTCAGATTTTATTTTAGAGAGCAGGCATGAGGTTCAGCTGTGTCCATTTCATTCTCTGTCTGATTCAGGATCAAACTGATACGGTTGTTTACACAGTGCAAAAGCACGTGCTTGTAGGGGTTTCACACGGTGACGTGGAGTCAATTCACGAATCACAGCACATTATGTTAGCTGACCAATCAAAGCCTCTTGAGGGCAGGCCTTTCAGAGGAACTGGGAAATATGACAGTTGTTTTCATGTCAGCTGAGTAGTGTATAGAATAAAAGCAAGATATATGAAAAAATAACATGATTTTCTACAAATGAAGCATGAGCACACATTGCTTTACATCTTATAAACACAGCCAAGCCGTGAAAATTCAATGTGGACCACCCTTTTAAATTTTAAAATGCACTAGGACCCTAAAAATAAGTGAATTTCAGGCATGAAACTTTCTGCACATGCAGACTGATAGGTCACCAAGTCTGTTCCTATGTCATAAACTACAACTGCAGTAGATTGGATGCTCACACCTTGGTAGCCAATGAACTTTCTTTTCATCAGTTTAAAAGCTACGCGTCATACTACGCTGTTTAAACTGCGGCAAGTTTTCGAAGACCCTTCTCTGCCCCAGCTCCACCTGTGCTTAGAAATGCCAAGGGTGTTTAAATGTATACTATGTTTGCAGTAGCAGCATGTTATATTCTCAGACAGCATGTCTGAGCAGCAGCAGCAGCATAACAGATCTATACTGCCAAGACCAAATACATCAACATTACCATGTACATATTCATTACCATACTAAATTCCAAGCGTGTTTATAAGACTAACCTTCCATGCTAATGAGGTACAGATCATCATTAATGGGCAGGACTTCCCCCTTTGATGACAAAGGAAAAGAAAAATCAATTAAAGTGTTTCCGCAGACTGCTTTTCAAAACACTGATTAGAAAAAATACAATTATTATATTTAAACCATTAGAGGTTGACTATATGCACAGACTGTTGCCACACAACTGTGTTGAAAACTCTCATTAGCTGATTTTTGCATTATACGTCCTTTCAATCTGTCAAAATACCTGTTATTAAATGATCTATAAAGGTATATTGATACAAATATCTAGTTAGGTTGGTTTATTGATACACACAAATCGTCAACTTGGATTTATAAGGTTCTATCTGCATTCTGAATGATTTTGACATATTGAGCTTCAAAGTGTTTGCATTCTATAGCAAACACTGTGTGTACCATTTGTTTTTTAAATTAAAAGTCTTCAAATGTAAACAACATCATATAATGTAAATAAGTTGTTATTTAATTCGAATATGTCAATAACTCAATTTTGACAAAAATGTCAGATAGAACCTTATAATTCTAGGTTGACAAGATGTACCACAAAGTACACCTATTTATGGAAGCAAAATGTATTTTGTTTGTGTTTTGTTCAGAGTAACATTTATGTTATATTGTTAGAAATAACTATGTAGCTTTCGTAAATCTGCACAAATTTTGAGCAACATTGCGTCAACAGATTTAATTAAATGCCAATCATTCCACAGGGGTTAATACTGTTAACTCTTAACTATTCAAAATAATGAAAATGAAAATGGATGCAGATGGATTATGAGGGCTAACATTAAACTCAGGAAGTTTTCATTAAAAGCACACTCCTGTGACCTCATCACATCACAATCATTTTCATCAGTGTCCTGCATAGCAGTCATTCTGCAACACATTCCTGAAGATTACTCTGTTACCAATGCCTTTGTCTCAATTTAAAGGCTGCGGTCTCCAGAGGTGCATCCTGTCGCCCATATATGTCAAAAATATCCCCCATTTAAGTAAAGTAAGCACAATAAAATTGACTAATTCTAGAGAGGTGTAAATTACTGTAATTTCACTGCAGTGTAATGCTTTTTTTCTAAACGAGACAGCTTCAATGACGTAAGCAGCAGACAAATGCATCTCCAGGGGGTGCAGCCTTTGAAAATGAGACACGGCTATAAATTTATGAGTGCTTATTTTATGAAACCTTGCCAGGTACATGTAAACTGCTTCTGCTCTGTGTCACGTCTAACTACATCACTCATCTGGTCTAAAACTCACAGTAAACCATGGCTTCCAGGGGGGTTTTGCTTTAAAACACCTCTCAGGACACCTTAGCAACCACATAGCAACAAACTAAGAAAAAAAAAAAAAACATCAGAATAGCAACCACCCACAAGCACACTCACATTTTATTCTGAAATGTGCAAATCCTATTGTTCATATACTGACCACACAGCATCACTCAGACTAAACGTCATTCATTCTTATTAGCATGATTGATTTCAGCTCGCTAAAAATTACTCAGAACAACAAGCTGCCCACCAGCTAACACACACTGCATTTGTGTTCAATTCTAGATTATACTGAGAGATGATGGTTAATAATGTTTTCTAATATGTGCAATTACACATTTTGTCATGGCTTTAGTACAATTGTAGGAACAGTGGTGAAACATCGTAGTCAAGTAAAAGTACCATTACGTGTCCAAAAATGTAGTACAAGTAGAGTATCTGTTGTAAATATTACTCAAAGTATGAGTAAAGGGTAGCCCTTTTAAAAGAGGAGCGAGTAGTAAGTATTACCCTGGGAAAGGTTGATGCGTCAATATTTAATTTGGGTATGTATATGTAAATGTAACATTCTGTTGTGAATTAGTTATTGTTTAAGGCCATATCTGTGACATTCAGTCTAAACAGTCTCTGGGTGATTGCGTGTAAAGTATCTACTTGGACACTTTGAATGCTTCCTAACAGTTTGCTTCATGTCTTAAGGTTGTTCAGTACGATGCGATTTACTTTCTATGTGCGATTTGATTGGACAGGAATCGCGGAACGGATTATTCTAATCACCATAGACAGGAAATAATAAAGTAGTGGCTGCTGGTTGAAGGAAAGTAGTGGAGTAAAAGAATTGATACAGTACTCCAGTAAAAGTACATACCTTAAAACTACTTGGTATATTTCTGAGAAAACTACAGAAATTTGAGTATTTGTAATTTGTTACTTTACACCACTGTATAGCATCCTGCACACAAGGGTACAAAAGCTGTCACTGGGGCGGTACCTTTTCAAAAAGTACACTTATTTACCTTACAGGTGCATGTTGGTATCTTAAAAGAACATTTTTGGACCTGAAGGGTATACTTTTGTAAGTTTAAGATATTATGCAGAACACAACTGTACTTTTTAGTTATATATATGTACCTTTAATGTACAAATGTGGACCTGGTGTGCGTTTCCAAAAACCATTGTTAGCCAACTAAGGTGGCAAGCTCCGTCGTTACAAACATAGTTTGTTGATTTGCCATTTCCCAAATCTATCAATCCAACAATTATTTGTAAACTGTGTGGCAAACGTTTCCAATTCCACCTCTAGAGCTGAAGTTAGAAGCATAGTTTCTGATTGTTTTATTCCCAGTTATCCGCCCTATGCCCTACTCATTTCGAGCATCCCAACATTTACTTGGAATGATTAAAAAACCCATTAAAGTCATCTCTCTTAGGTGTCATTTGCTTTCAAAGTATTTTTACAGTTAATTTTTTTTTGTTGAAAACGTTTATGCCATTTTAAACACAACAGTGGCGCATATATATATAGCATATGCTAATGATTTTAATTTATAGTAGGTTATTTATTAAGAAATGCATCTGTACTGTAGGCCTTTATGACATGGGCAGAATATTTCTGCAGTGGATGTGTCAAATTGTAATTATTGTTATTATTATTATTTTATTTATTTTTTTAACTTGCATTTTTTTTCTTTTCTTAACAAATGCCCTACTGTAAATTACGACCATTAGCCTAACAATTTATATAATTTATATATAAGATTAGTGTGTTAGCTAAATGGTTTTTATGTTTTAGAATAGAATACGGATTATTCTTAATAACATTTGGAAAAGAAACATAGGCCCTATATGTGCCCTTTATATATATATATATATATATATATATATATATATATATATATATATATATATATATATATATATTTTTTTTTTTTTTTTTTAAATAGGGAAAGCAAGTGTATGTTTTTATTACAACTAATATTGGATTTTTTTTAATGCATTTGCGTGTAAAACAATTTAATTTGCAAAAAAAAAAAGATTTTTTTTTTC